AAACGCAATTTCTGAATCGCAGTGTTAAGATTTTCCCTAAGCTAATCACCTTTTCTCTTACTAGTGTTTGTAACAATAGTTCCAATGTACCACTAGATGGCATTGGTATAGAAAACGCAATTTCTGAATCGCAGTGTTAAGATTTTCCCTAAGCTAATCACCTTTTCTCTTACTAGTGTTTGTAACAATAGTTCCAATGTGCCACTAGATGGCATTGGCATAGAAAACGCAATTCTGAATCGCGGTGTTAAGATTTTCCTAAATGTAATCAGTGATCTGATCTATTCTTCGTTGCGAACTCTGGCGCCGCACTCGCATCCATCGGGACGAATCCCTTTTATTGGACACGCTTGCATTGTAAGCTGCTGTATAACAATAAACCAAGTCTTCTTCACTTCAAGGGGGCATCAGCTAGCCGAGCAAATCTCTACCAACCTCTCCTATTATCTTCGAGTATATAGCCAGAAATAGAAACTAAATATCATTTAATTTGTTTGAAAACTATTCTGCCACGATGACAACTGCGCTCCGATTGGCCAGCTCAAATTCGAAACAATTGACAGGTGTCGTCAATTGTTTCACTTCAAATCAACCAGTTAACTTGAGCTTTGCTATAATGGACGAAAATTGCAAAATTACATATTTAATATTAATATGTAATTACCGATGAAATTTGATATCGTTTGTTTTGTAACTAGAAGTTTTGCTGTTGCCACACCACCGAATGGAACAGCCTGCCATTGTTAGAGATATTATATTTATAACAATAAATACAGAATATTTTTGGAATATACGGAGACGTACACACAGGTCAGTTGTTGGCGCTGTACTATTTCAGCTTACTAATTTGTGATTTCAGCGCAAACGAGAGTTGATATTTAAATGTTATATAAGGCCCATTTGCCTGACGAGTTGCCAGGGATGGATGGCCCTTATTTCGTCTCTATTTCTGGTTATATACTCGATGTAAGGTTCTAATTGATATTGAAAATTTGCTAGTTACGAGGTTTAAAACTATTGTGAAACAAAAACTTTACACTCTGCGTACTTGGATGACAAAAATCCGCGTTACTGACCTGTTTAACTCTTGCAGGTAGTCTCGATCTAAGATGTTTAAATTAAAAATTTTGTAATGATAAATGTATTCAAATGTATATTTACAAATTAGATGTTTTGCTGTTTTTCCCCTCACCACCGAAATGTTAAAAATATTGTCTTTATTACAATAAATACAGAATATTTTTGGAATATACGGAGACGTACACACGTTGATGTTTATAAGTGATGTATGTATCACTGATAAGTTACCAAGAATGTATGGCCCTTATTTCGTCTCTACTTTTGGTTATATACCCGATGCCTACTACAGAACTCTTTTTTTTTTATATAATATTGAGTGACGGGACGAACAAGTCGTGCGGCTGGTAATAAGCGACACGTCTGTCGATAACAGTTGCAGTACTCAAGAGCTTTAAATAGCAAAAATCTGAGGACCACTGCCACTGCGCCCGTCACCCTGATACATAAGTTGACGAGTCCCATGTGCCTGTAATTTCAACAGCACCCTGTTACTTACTTAATTACGTAATTTTATGAGGAATAAGGGTAATTTGGTAACTGACCTGCTTCCCAAGGTCCTCGAGCATCTCAATGAGATGCGGCTGCCTCAGCTCGACTATAGTTTTGCTGTTAATCCGGGCCACGTTGTTCACCTGAATGACAAATAACAATACATTGGAAATTGCTTTTTTTTTACATTATTTTTATTTATTTGTTGAGCGTTGGCTGTGGAGCCATCAGTTTAAAATCAAAACATAATGCTATTTAAACTAAAAATTAATTTATGAAAAAACTGTAACTACAAAAAAAAACTTTTTCTTTCTTTATTTTCTCGGCTATTCGAGATTAGAATTACATGCAACGACACGTTTCATATTTAATTCTTTCTGTTTTTTTCTCGGCTATTTGTGGTTAGAGTCACATCCACCGTTAATTTTTTTAACCGACTTCATAAAAAGGAGGCAGTTCTCAATTCACACGATAACTCTAGCATTGTAAAGTGATTTTGATAATTCTTTTTTTATTGGGAGGTACCCCTCAATATTGATTTTAAATTATTTAAATTTGAAGAAAATATTCCACCTCAAAGGGTGACAAATTAGGGGAGGAATCCGGAATCTCATCATATTTTTGAAGTTGGTTAAAAAAAGTCATTCTGCTTCTTAACCTGCTGTCTCGAGGTCCAGATCATCTCGGCCAGCAGCTCGCACCACTCCTGAATGTTGTTCAGGTTCGACTGCATCGGCACGCCATTGCCGCTTAATTGCTGCTCGCGCTTCCATCTCCAAAACAAAGGAAGAACCAAATTGTTATACGATCAAAAGTATATAAGTAACAGTATATTGTGTATAAGGACGGTAAATCAGAACTCAATAACGAAGGACTATTAAAAGCCCGAAGCCGAAGGCTGAGGGCTCTAATAACTCGAGTTTTGTATTCTTTGCCGCCCGTGATAAATACAATATAAATATATACAACACAACAAATATGAGAGAGATTTGCAAAAGCAAATGGCGGATTTTTTTTATGACCAGCTAGTTATTCATTCCTTAGATAATGCATCTCGAACTAAAATGTTGTAAAAAGCAAAGATACAGCAGCAAGCATACAGCCGTTATGGATTGTAAAAAAAATTCAAAAATCAAATAAAATAAATTCTTATTAATAAGTATTTAAGAAGTATGTGGCTTAATTGCAATTAAATTTCTGTTTAGGTAACATTTGAAGCGAACGTTTTAATTTTGAACTTAAGTTACCTCCTTACTTGAACTTGAGCCTGACCTTAAGTAAGGACGTATGTCGTGCTATCATAATTATTTACACATGTTGTTGATCTTTTCCTATATCATAGGTTCCTAAACTTTATGGCTTACCGCCCACTTAGGCAAGATAAAAAATGTTAACGCCCACCATCACATAAAATAATTGGAAACATGTATTTTTTTTATATTAACTTAACACAAAAAATCACCAGGAAACAAATGATATATATTTAGTGTAGTTTATAAAGACAATATAGTTTTTTTTTTTTCAAATGCGATAGCTCCCTGGACAGCATCAACACACCCAATTGCTTCCGAGGCCTCTACCGATCCCCTAGAACTCTTGAGCGCCCAATGGGGGGGTAGAGACCACTTTGGGAAACTATGTTGTCCTATATATTCATAATAATATGTGCTCACTTAATAAGTTCCTCGTCCAGCACTTGCGCCTGCAGCTGTCCAAGCATACCGATGTTCTCCTTCATATGGTCCACTAGAGTCATCTGGGACTGGTTGATCTGGGCCACCTGCAAACAGTTTAGTGTGTTCAATTATTCCATAGGTAAAATCATGGATCAATAACTCGAGATGACTGCTAATCTCCATACCACAGATCGTAATTCTTGAAAAATGTCAAACTCCCGTGTTAAACCTAGATGGCGCTGACCGAGAGTGAGGAAGTATTTTATATTATGTAAACGGCTGTTTCTTGTCTGTTAGGATCAAATATTTATAATAATTTATATTTAAGAGAAGAATATTAATAAATTAAGTTTAAATTTTAAACTATTTTGGCAGATAAATGTAATGATTTTAGAAATCATAAATGTATAATTTAATTATATAATTAGTAGATGATTGATTTTTATATAGTTTTATTAGGGATTTTAATTTTAATTTTGGGGGTATTAATTGGTGTGGCTTTTTTAACTCTTTTAGAACGGAAAGTTTTAGGTTATATTCAAATTCGGAAAGGGCCTAATAAATTAGGGATGTGTGGATTGATATACAATTAATATGAAATATAAGTCAGTTTTCATTCCTTGTAATATTATTCAAATATTGACCTTGAGCTAAAATTATTTTCTGTTTACAAAACGACCCCTCCTATGTAAAGTATCGTATGTCGAAATTGCCAAGTTTACATGGGAGCGTTTTAAAGTTCTGAATTCACTGAAATTAACATAACACGTGAAATGAGAACTCGCACCATCGCAGTTACACACGCTACAACCAGAAGATGACTGAATATTAACAACATTTCACTGAACAATCAATAAATAACTATTTTTCAGTAAAATCAGTTGTTACTTACGATTAAAGAGATGAAATAACATTATATTCGAAATAATAATCAATCAACAATCACAAACAACCACTGTGGCACTAGTTGTTAAAACTCCGTCTCTAATTGCTCTTGCGTCGCTGTAAATGTCGTTCGGTAATACGAAAAAGCAACCGGTCGCTTTCTGTCAACGCATTTTCATGCAGTTTTAGTTTATTAGTTGCTCGCTAGCGGCGCTGTAGTCGACTGGTCGCAATTGTTCGTTCCGTAATACGATATTATCGCTAAAGATCGGTAATAAGCCTGCGGGTGTTTTCTCGGTTATTCGGGTATCTACGCGTCTATTTGGTTGTCTACGCGGCTATTCGGACGTCTACGCAGCTATGCGGGTGACACCTTGGCTATTAAGCCGCCGATCAGACGTCGTCGATTGCGTACGAATGCGATCAGAGATTATCAGGAAGCGAGCGGTGCGAAACGCATGTCTTTTTCGCTCTTATTATGTGGACATAAAACTATTTCAGATTATTCGATTCCTTACCAGTACATTAAGTTTTCTTTCCATCTCCTCAATCTGCACTCTGAGACAGGCCTCCAGCTCGCGTCGTTCGTTGGTCATAGGTCCAGATTGCTGCAGATAGTTAATATGGCCTGGAACGGGACAAATGAGTTCATTATCAATAATTGTAACTTTTTCAATTAAAAAACCGACCTCAAAAGTTGCTTATCGCCTTTTTTCGATTTCTATTGGATCAAAAAAGAAATTTCAAAATCGGTCCACGATTGATGGAGAAATTGGTGAATACAATGACATGCCTATAAAATTTGAGGATTTTCCTAGATTTCCATGGTATTCCCTCATCCGATTCCGACTTGGTGACAATGGGACCACCACGAGAGAGCACACTTCCAAACAAAAAAAAAATATAAAAAACGGTCCACAATTGACGGAGAAATCGGAAAACATACATACCGCCTCCATTTTTTTTTGAAGTCGGTTAAAAAGTGCTGCGTTTCGGTTTTGAAGGGTAAGGGTGCTGGTAAAATTACAGGGACATGGGAGTTGTCAACTTATGTCTCAGGGTGGCGGGCGCAGTGGTAGTGCCCCTTAGATCTTTGCGATTTAAAGTATATAAAATTTAAAGTATACATAAAATAATGCTTATTAGTAATGAAATTATGACTCACCCTTGTTTTTGAGACACTCGTGGTACTGCAGTGAGAAGGACTCAATGCTGCCCTGGAGGGTGCGGATGTCTTCTGACACCACGTTCACTTTTTGCCGCACTGTTTGAAGGCCGGTTAGAAGCTAAAAAAATGTTTCGACATTAATATAAATATAATGTGATAATTTTGCATAGCTTTTTTGTCTCATTTCAATGATCGGAAAAAGGTGTTCAACATATCGACCCCTCCAACGAATACTATCGTATGTCGAAATTGCCAAGTTTACAGGGAAGCGTTTCAAAATTCCGAATTCACTGAAATAAGTAATAATAACGTAACGTAATAACACGTGACATTTCTCAGTTTTATTCACCAAAGTTCGTTGCACACATAGAACCGAACTTAGAAAATCTTCCAAAACGAAGAAAATCTTAACACCGCGAAGGAGAAATGAAGTAAAAAGGGTCATCCAGCGGATTATTAGAGAACTATCCGATAAACAAAGTTCATTAGTAAAGTATAAAATAGGTTTGTTACAGTACAAAGATCGTTAACAAAAACGCATAGGCGAATTTCGACAACTCGATAACTTGACCGGTAGCTCAGTTGGTAAGAGCAATACTACGGTGCAGTGTGGTCGTGGGTTCAAGGCCCATTGGGTCGAAAAAGTATTTTTCTATATGTTCGATTTTTGTAGTAATAATTATACAACAATTTTTTTAAGGTCTCTTCGCAATCTTCGTCTTTCAACTAACCTAAATCATCTCACTAACTTACCTCGCTGTATTTTCTTTCTGTCTGCGGCTGCGCCATCAGCTGGGCACCAGTGCCCTGGATCACTTCCATCTCCATAGCGAGGCAGCGACGCATGTACAGGTATAGCTCATGGGGGGCGTGGCTGAAATTTACAATTACCATAAGATATCTTTGTAGAGACACCAGTTATTTACAGAAGCATACAGCCGTCTCACATGACACGCTGGTTCACGCGAAAAATGTACACTCTTACTATATGAAAAACCTTTCTATTTTCTTTAGTATTGTAATAAAATATTTCTCAAACTGCTCGGAAATGTTTGCATTACTTTCAAAAAACGAACACGAAAAGTTTATTATTTATGTACCATCTTCGCGGCCAAAGCCTGCAAACATAGAGTATATAGAGACGAAATGTCTCTCTGCGCTCCGATTGGCTAGCCCGAGTTCGAAACAATTGACGGGTGTCGTCAACTGTTTCACTTCAAATCGACCAGTTAACTTGAGCTTTGCTATAATGGATGAAAATTGCAAAATTACATATTTAATATTTAATTACCGATGAAATGTGATTCCGTTTGTTTTGTAATTAGATGTTTTGCTGTTTTTCCCACGCTGTCGAATAGAATAGCACGGCATTGTTAGAGATATTATCTTTATTACAATAAATACAGATTTTTTTTGAAATATACGGAGACGTACACACAGGTCAGTAGTTGGCCTGTATATATTTCAGTGCAAACGAGAATTTTGATATTTATAATTATATATATATATATATTATTTCGTCTCTATTTCTGGTTATATACTCAATGCCTGCAAAGTACGAAAATCCATTACTGTCCTCTTATGAAAACTTTTAAATTTCCCTACTATAGTCCATCTGTTTAGGTACTTAAATAAATGTAAACAATCTTGAGATGTCTATTTAATGAAATATACATTTATAAAATGATTTTCCCTTACTTTCAAATACAAAATACAAATACTTAGCTTCATATGAAATTGCATGCCTATTTTTATACCTATTGATTTGTAAAGCATGTGTTTCAATAAAAAGATGTATCAAGATTGTTTACATTTAGTTAAGTACCTAAACAAATGGACTATAATAATGAACTATGTAAACAGGCAAAAGAAAAACTCGTACAGCCAACTGCTCAGTCCTCATAATTGCGCGAAACCGGATTCATCTAGTTTGCCTCCCTTAGAGGTGGAATATTTTCTTCAAATTTAAATGGGACCAATACTGAGGCAACCTCTTTCCAATAAAAAAAGAATCATCAAAATAGGTTCACAAATTAAAAAAATATCACGTAGAATACATAAAAAAAATGAAGTCGAATTGAGAACCTCCTCCTTCTTTCGATGTCGGTTAAAAAAAGAAAGCTTTTTTATGTAGATAGATTCAGTAAGGATGTACATTTTTCACGTTTTTGTTTTAATATAAAATCATCAGCAGCTGCATCAGCATGCACATCAGGTTTTGCATCAGCAACATGGTCCGTACACGATGCGCGTAGGAAGCTCATACACATGTAGAAATATCTTTTGAAATTTTATTTAGCATGAATTATAAAATAAACTTGTATACCTAAAAGCCACTTATAGAAAAACGAGATTTAAAATGATATCACAACAGCGAAAAAGAACCTTATAATGGCTCCATCGTTTTCGTTCAGCAACTTAAACTTTTGACAGATGTCAACGTCAAATGTGGAAAATTAGAGGAAAAATATTTATTATTCTGAATAACATGAGGATTTACATGACCCAAGACTACTTATACTAACACCCAATTTTTTTAACTTAAAAATGTCCAGAACGAATCATTTCCCTTTTATCTGTCTATACTAACCTGTAATGTCTGTGGAAGTTGTTAGCAGCCTCCAGCAGCTTCACTTTGGTCAAGAAGTTGTCGGGGGCGATCATAAGTTCGGCGCTGGTCTGGATCTCCTGGACAAGCTCTTCGAGGAAGAACCTTTGCGGCTCCTCTGGTTCCGGAGCCCTGATGGACAATGGGACCATTGTTTATTGTAATTACTTTTTAAATATTAAGTAAACATTCAAAGCAAGTTGTCTCGGCCTGCTGCAGTGGGAGATTAGGCGTGTTAATATGCATGTTAACATATATTATTCAATAAACGCATACATACATTACTCATCAACTTCAAATGTGTTATTGAAAACTTTGTTTTGAGAAACTTATCGCGTTTTAGGTTTTCGTGATTGTGAACATGAGACCTGTAAAGGACCCAAAACATTGGTTCAAACAAATGTACATGATTTATATCCGGAAACATAGATTTCATCATGCTTGCTCGTAAATGGTATCATTGCATGGTGGCAAACTTGACTGAAGTTCGCATTAGGAGTGTGTCAGCGTGGCATGGATCTTGTAAATAAAACTGTCAGACCGCGTGCGAAACAACATACTTCGCTCCAAAACACAAATCGTCGAGGTTGGTCATAAAGCCGCGAGTTTAAAATGGAACTGGGCCGGACACGTCTGCCGCATGTCGAACGAGCTGTTGAATCCTGGAAGACCCAGAACAAGATGGCGTGACGAACACGACGCGTATATTGGATTTATTTTTTTAATTGTGGTGTTCTCTTTATATGGTAAGCAATGGTAGAATATCAGCGAGGGCTATTTAATTAGCATAGTCCTCAAATGCTGAGTCATAAACCTTTATGACATGCCTTTTTTGTTTCCTTATTTGTTTTAATTTTTTCTTTCTATTATTGTTATTACATTTTTCTATTTTTTCTATTGTTTTTTTATTATTTATGAACGAATTATTTGATATTTTATAATTGTTTGTATTTCGTAACGTAATTTGGCATGTCAAATAAATACGATTTTATTTTATTATAGACGAGGTCTTGGCCTGTAGCGGCGTTAAATCACGTAAGTGAATAATCTCAGTACAGAGTGCTAAAAAAACCGACCTCAAAAGCACGTGGAATTACGTCTATTTGCTAAGTTTAATTGAAATATCCTTAAATTCGCCACTATACAGGACTTGACACTGGAGATAATAAAAATCGGTTCTCACTACTCAAAGTATATGGAGAGAAAAAGGTCTTGAATTGGAGACATAGCAAAATCAACCATTAAAATAATTGCTCCTTAGTAAAATTTAGGCGCTATTTATAAAAATGAATCTTCATGTGTGAAAAACCGCCCTTAGAGGTGGATGATTTTCTTCAAAATGAAATGGGACCACTATGGAAGTACCCTCTTTCCAACAAAAAAAGAATCATGAAAATCGGTTCACAAATACCGGAATTATCGCGTAACATACATACAAAAACAAAAAAATACAAAAAAGAAACATACTCTCGAATTGAGAACTTACTCCTTTTTTGAAATCGGTTAAAAAAGGGATTGAAGGCGTTTGCCCTGCAGTGGGACAGTAATGGTTGAAAAATAAAGTCATATTTTTCAATTTTCGTCCATTATAGCTGGTTGATTTGAAGTGAAACAATTGACGACACCCGTCAATTGTTTCGAATTCGGGCTGGCCAATCGGAGCGCAGTTGTCACAATAATGATTTGATTTATTTGAATAGTTATCAAACAAATTAAATGACATTTCGTCTCTATTTTTGGTTATATGCTCGATGCTCTGCTGCTACCAAAAATTAATATGTTATTAGTAAATAATGATCAGCCTCTCACCAAATGCGCTGTTCGATCCATGGTGCAAGGCAATGTCGCACTTCCAACGGGAAATGGTCCCCGTAAATAGCACGAACCTGTAACAAAATTAAGAATTTCAAATTTTGTTGAATATTAGCTGGTGCCGGTGACTTCGTCTGAGTATAAGTGCTTCGATTAGCCTACTATACAATACCACAGATTACATAAGTTACTACGTAACAGATGCCGTCTTTCATACATACAAATACACCTTCTCTATCTACTGCATCTGAGTAACGAGACCTGGCGTTCACTACGAGGAAAAAGGAACCCAAGCACGAGCTCAGAGGTGAAAATTACATTGTTCGCGGTATGCAGTCGTGCGGAACCGAATACTGGGGTTGTACAAGGATTGTAATGTAAATGAAAAACAAAAAAAGTGTTTTAATTTTAATTCTAATCTTAATTTTAAGAGGGGTATCACATGTACCTACTAAAATAGTTCTAAGGTTATCAATCTGTAACACCACCCCATCCATGTGAAATGCAAAATAAATAAATAAAAATAAAAATAAAATAAATGGTAATCTCGATCTGTTGACCTGTAACCATGATCTGAACCCGGGCCGACACAGGTCAAATCGAAAATTCACAAATACACAACATACCTACATACACAAAAAAAACAGTCGAATGACTAACGATGTTATCCAACGTTGTGCAATATTTCTTATTTTTAACCGACTTCAAAAAAAGGAGGAGGTTCTCAATTCAACTGGTATGAGTAGTGGTCCCATTTAAATTTGAAGACAATATTCCACCTCTAAAGGGTGGCAAACTATGAATGAGTTTTTGAGGTCGATTGTTTTTGTACTCTGTCTGTACTGAGACTATTATTCTTATTTTAATAGGGGACCTTAGAGCTACTTTTGCAACATGAATTTAGATGTGATTAAATAGATGCGAATCAAAAGCTTCCACATGTAAACATAAGAAAATATACAATAACAAATTAACACGACAATAGCTTGATCAGTTACTTTGAGTATAAAATTACTGAGGAGCTCTGGACAATCAATCTTATTACGCGCAATGTTCAACAAATAATAGGCAGAAATTTTTAACAACGATGTATGTATTACAAATGGGGCAATTTAAATTTGTAACATAATAAAAAAAACCGACTTCAAAAGTTTGTGGAATTACGTGTCTTTGCCAAGTTTTATTGAAATCGGTTACTGGAAAGTACGCAAAACCGGATTCATCCCCTAGTTTGCCACCCTTACAGATGGAATATTTTCTTCCAATTTAAATGAAGCCAATACTGAGGTAACCTCTTTCCAACAAAAAATAAACGTCGAAATCGGTTCACAAATGCCGCCGGAGCTATCGCGTAACATACATACAACAAAAATAGTATCCTCCTTTTTTGAAGTCGGTTAAAAGTCTAGTAAATTTCTTCTGTACTCTTTCAATGCTGTTAGAATAAGTATCTTTTTTTTTTCATTACTTGTAACAGTGTCTGTTATTAGTGAGTACAATACAATAACATCTTCAGGATGCTGTTGGGACTGCCTCGGCACTGCAGTGCATCAGAACAGACGACTTTTATGCCATTATGCGTAAAAAAGTGTCGTCTCTGCTAAAGCGGGTGCGTGACAGCGGCAATGGCATCCTGAGGATGTTTGCCCATCGTTTTGACTGTACAATTTTAAAGTTTTGAGTAAACATTACACTTGGTCAAATTAAGTAATAATTGTGCAAATTCCACATTTTAATATTTTTTTCTGTCAATATCTCAAAATTCAATGTAATCATACTAACATAGTTCTAAGGTTTTCTTTTGTAACTAACACTATTATCTTATGGGCTATGGCCTGAAATAAATGGTTTATTATTATTATTATATTCATTTTAAACTCTCGCCTCTCCCAAAGTCCAAAAGATCAATTTTTAATTTTTAAATGGGAGAGGCGGTATTTCCCGGCAATGGCACAGTCGGCCGGGGTCAGGGACTCAGGTCCAAGAATCGGCGAACAATACGTGCCGTATCGAGCAGGACCGCCTTCTGCATTTGTGCTGGAAGCGACACGCCACAGAAATCCAACCGCCTCAAGCTGTTAGAAAGGCTGACTGGAATTAACCCATTTGCGGACAAAACAATTGGGATTATTTCAGTGGAGGCCATTGACTTACAATTATATGGACGTCGGGTCCGCGCTAAAAAGTGTCCGAACTTATAGGGCATTAAAATCGTATACAGAGCGTCATTCACGCTTTAGTCTTCGTTTGTTCGACTGACAGCGAAGCAAACAAAATTAGACAGTACTGCGATGACATTACAATTTAAATTCAACGTTTTAGCTTTTTCATATTCCTTTACATGTCACTACGTTTAAATAGGTTGACTTGGGACATTTTTTTTCGTGGTTTTTGTATTAGACCCGTCGTCCATTTATTTGTAAGTCAATGGTGGAGGTCATTATTATTATTATAAACCCTTTCATGGACAGTACTGTGACGGTGTGGCCTCCTTACACCGTCATCTCACCTTTTAGTATCACCTCTCTCCGCTTGTATCCTATCATTTTTTCTTATACTTGTATTTAAATTTTAAATTTGAATAGGTCCATCTTCCTTCGCTTTCTCATTTTGTTTTCGTACCACGGTCACTCCCAGCTCGACCGCCACAACAGTCGGAGCTGTTTCAAATTCCATCGCGTATAATCGCTAATTTTGGTTTTTTATTACGTTTAATATCGTCATTAAATAAGCTAAATCATGTGTAATAATCTATAACAGTCTACAGCCTTCATGTACCTATATCTGTAATTCAGTTACCCATTTAGGGGTAAGTGCCTTACTCATAAAGTGTAGGGAGTATTTTATATTATTGTACCTGTTTTTTAACCTACTTCAAAAAAGGAGGAGGTTCTCAATTCGTCTGTATGTTCTTTTTTTTGTATGTATGTTACGCGATAACTCCGGTATTTGTGAACCGATTCTTTTTTTGTTGGAAAGGGGGTACTTCCATAGTGGTCCCATTTCATTTTGAAGAAAATGATCCACCTCGAAGGGTGGCTGCTCACGCATGAAGATTCATTTTCATAAATAGCGCCTAAATTTTACTAAGGCGCAATTATTTTAATGGTTGATTTTGCTATTTCTCCAATTCAAGGCGTTTTTCTTTCCATATACTTTGAGTAGTGAGAACCGATTTTATTATCTCCAGTGTCAAGTCCTGTATAGCGGCGAACTAGGGGATATTTCAATGAAACTTAGCAAATAGACGTAATTCCACGTACTTTTGAGGTCGGTTTTTTTAGTACTCTGTACTGAGATTATTTACATTTACTTTATTGTTAAAGCCCTTTAGTTTTATTTTACTTGTTTTAATAAATTTTGTGGACCGGAAGTTTCCCGTTTCATTGCCGTGAACCTGGTCACGGCTAGTTAGGGTTACAACCCTTTCATAGCAGCACTACAAACTGTTCTTGCTAATGTTTCTTGTGCATAACGGTAGTACTGTGATTTTATTTTTTTTAATTTCAGCAAAAAGAGTCTAAATCTATTTTATTTTATTTATTTTATTTTATTTATTTTAGGAAGGTTTACAGCTTAAACAATGATATATAACACAAAATAACAACGGAAAGCCTATTACAAACCTTCACAATTGAATATCTAAATTACAACTTAATCAATACTAGTGCTAAACCTACAAATATTTATAAGCAAAAGTTATCATAATACAAATATCACACATATATATTTAGTAGTATATAAACATTACACATATTCAATATATTATATAGCTCGCCACACACCCGTCTGCAAAAAAAGATAACCAAAAGGGTCTCTAACGAGATCTGAATGAATTATATATACACTAAAATAGCGTACACCGTAATATGTATGTGTGTATGTATGTTCTGCACTAACAATTCTAAAAGAATCAATTACCAATTAGATTATATTTAAGCAGTGATGAAGGTTACTTATTTACCATTTGAATAATTGAATCACAGTTTGGAAAGTAAAAGTCATTCATCCCCTAGTTTACCACCCTTAAAGGTGGAATATTTTTTTTTTCAAATTTAAATGGGACCACTTCTGAGGTACCCTCTTTCCAACAATAAAAGAATCATCAATATCGGTTCACAAATGGCGGAGTTATCCCGTAACATACATACATACAAAAAAAAACATACAGACGAATTGAGAACCTTCTCCTTTTTTTGAAGTCGGTTAATTAAGTAATTTATTTCACCTAGATGCCAGAAAATACCTACCTGACTAACCTGGTTTAAAGTGTGAAAACCCGTTTCATTATTATTTATTATAGAATAAAGTTTCTGCAATACACATTATTGGTTTATTGAACTACTAAAAACTACGCATTTAGAGAAAAAAATTGAGAGATTTTTTACTGTCAGAAAGTTCCAGCGCGAAAACAAAGTACACAACATAAGGGAGTCACTGGCGATGCACGACATGCACGGTCTTACATCACCCCATACAAACACGTCGGTATTCACCGTACTATCTTGGTGTGCACATTTTAAATATGTGTGTGTAACGTCCACAAATGTATCTCAAATAAATCATTCCATTCTGTCAGTACATTGTTGATACTTCTCCATGTAGAAGCAGTAGGCGGCAACTACAAAGAGAGCACTGGGAATTCACACGGTAAAGCCCGTAGTAGTTTTTATAAGATCCATATATCGAAACGGGATACCCTGTATTGTCCATATTCTACTATTTCATTTTACAGTTAACACTGTTACTGCAATATAACAATTGAACAAAACCGCAAATATTTTTGTTAAGCGTTAGTAAACAATTTGGGATAATGATAAAGACATATAAACTTTAATTTAACTGCTACCGTGGTCGATGCTATACTGGTCTGCCACGCAGAGGTCCCAGGTTCGATTCCCCGGCCGAGAGAAACATTTTTATGGCCTACATTTACTTCTCTCGTGAGTTTGGGTTTAATTTGTGGTTATCTTATGTGTCCATGGCACCTGCGATACAGAGTTTCCCTAGTGCGGGACTATGAATGTTAGTGCGTTAAAAAAAATCACCTTGTTGAAGCTCTCAGTAGGCAGCTGCTGAGCACGTGCCCAGAGTGACATTTTAATTCTGAAACAAGACAAATTATTAATATTATAACATTAATATCAAATATTTACTGCATTCAGCTGAGTTTGTAACAGTAGAGATCTTTGTGAGAGAGTTTATGTCCACGATGTTACTACCACCTTATCTATTTCTGCCACCAAGCAGTAATATGAACATTCCTGCGTTTCGGTTTTGAAGGGTGATAGTAAATTACAGGCATATGGGACTTGTCAGCTTATGTTTCGGGATGACAGGCGCAGTGGCAGTGTCCCGGAGATATTTGCTATTTAAAGCTCTGAGTGCACTGCAACTGCTTTGACCAGGCGAGTCTCTTGTTATCCTAAAAAAAAATTAATATCAAAGTAGTAAAACATAATACCGTCTGCTTAAAGGTAAACACACGTAAGTGACATTTTAACCAAAAAATCTTTAGTTTATGTAGCTGTGGTAAGAAATCATTATCTATGTGCACGTGAAACCCAACTTAATAAGAGTTTTATCTGCAGTCTTACTACAGGTACATAATTTAGAGATATTTTGAGGAAAATGTCACTTATGTGGTTTTACCTTTAACCAGACGATATATTCCGTCCACAGACATATATCTAGATCGTATGAAAACCAAGCTTGCCACATTTTTTGTACCCACCATGACGTCACAAGAACTATTTAGTGATGGAAACCTCCTTCCGCTCGCTCTAAATCGATTTGAAAGGAATCTAAGAATAATTTTTGTTCAAGTATTTGTTGATTACAAGTAATCGTAATATTAATATAGTAGAAAAATACTAGAGTACCTAAGATAGTTAAATCCTTCGTTTTACTTGTTTTTAAAAAATGTTGATTACTTAAAAAAATTAACACTTTAATTTTTAATCGACTTCAAATATTAAAATTATTGTCCTTTCAATAAAATAAGCTAATTATATAAAATCTTTTTGTAATAGAAGATCTTATCGATTAACTTAAATAATGAAAACGCACGTCAATATATGAACTTGCGACTGCCTTAATTAGTTTTACTAGATGGTTTTCTGTTGGTAATTGATGAAATTGATGAATGGCGAGGCAAATCAAAATGTCACTGCTGACAAAATATGATAAAATCTTATTAATCTATGGAGGTTTACTTAGTCACGGCCTCGTGTGCAATTTTTGTGATTTGTTTATTACTTCTCGGATTTCTAACTCTACTACTCTGCATATTTGGATAGCATCTTAGGTGGGATAAACTAGACCACCTTCGTTCTCGAAAGCAACGAACTCACGTATATAACTTCAGGTTTTTGTAAAGACAGCGCACTATTAATTCTTTGCATTATATAATTTTTTGTATTACTCGTACTACATATCCAGTGATGTATGTAATTATTTGCTCACTATATACGGACATTCGATACAAAAATTATCGAAATTACTGATACATGATAAAAACCAAACGTTATAGAATATTTTTATAATATTGCTAAGGTCATAATAATTTTCGTCCATTTATTTTCAAAATCGATCAGAATCGAGAACAGTGTTGCCTAACGTATACATCACTAAATGTTAAAGGAGATCCGCCAAATCCCATACAAAATTACCCCAGGCCCGGCGCCAAAATAATGTAACTCAATTTTTAGAGTAAAAATAGCAAAAATATTATATAGTTTCGGTATTGCTAAATTCACATGCTAACATTGTCTTTTTGCCCGTTGAATTTTAATAGGGGCTCTTTGTAAAATTAAATGTTTTAGAGAAATGTCATCATTTTTAGTTCATTAATCTTGTAATTAGTCATTATGGCGTATAAGCATGTATGTACTGTACTGTAAACTATGAAATGTCTACGACGTTGCCGTAATGATCGTGTACACAAAATACAAACGTCTGCCATTTCACAAGAAAATCAAAAGTCCGGGAGGGTTAAACAAAGTAAAATAAAGATCAAGGTAAGGTATCGCACAGTTCACAGTACACAACACAACAAACGTTAGCGTAGGACTGCGCGTGAGCAGAGCACGCCAAAGCAAAGCGGGCGTCTGCGTGTTTCTCCCTCTAAACCATTATATGTGAGCGAGACAATAAGATGTATCCAGTTGTGCCCTCACGTCACAGGTGCGTTCATCCGTGCGTGTTCATCCTTTCTTTGCCGATTACTTGAAGGTCATGCGGCCATTAAGTAAAGTCGCGTAAAGCGATAATATAACAATACAAATATACTTTATTTAAATTATTTGTTTGAACGTATTTGTTGTTGTACCTTTATGCGAATGTTGATATATTTATCATTATATAATACAAACAAAAAGCTAAAACTAAAACATTTGACTTGATTCTTCTATTTATTTATGGGAAGTTTATACTATTTTTTTTTTCTAAATAAAAATATAACTGCAAATGAAATATGTTTATATAATATGATTGATATACATGCTTATATGCCATAATTATTTATTACAATGTTAATGAACTAAAAAGGACGACGCTTCTCTAATAAATAGAATTTTTCATAAAGCGCCTATGAAAATTCAACAGGCAAAAAAACTATGTTAGCATGTGAATTTAGCAATACCGAAACTATATAATATTATTGCTATTTTTACTCTAAAAGCTGAGTTACATTATTTTGGCGCCGGGCCTGGGGTCATTTTGGCGGATCTCCTTTGGCCAAAGAAATGTAGAAGCGGCCGTACCACGAAACTGAAAGCATTATACAAAAGTGCGTTCGTTCGATATTCATGGCGTATTATAACAAAGGATCACAAATATATCGCAACAAGTAAAAGCCGCAATGTATTACAAATCATAAGCCATACACTCTATTGAATGTTTGTTTTCTCGAAATTCATACAAAACCAACATAACTGCTTTTAAAATAAATTATGCATCTTCTGATTACAAAATCACTTGCATGTGTAAGGAAACGTCCCAGTTTTCCCGTTTACTCACAGTTATTGTGCTTTTGGTTTTATAATGGCACAATTGTGCATTTTTCGCGTTTTCGATCTACGATAATGGTCGAGCGCGTTCTGAAGTGTAGCAGCGGCAAGTAAGTGAATTTCACTTACTTCGGGCACGCGAAGTACGTACACTTGCGGCGTCTATCTTCTTCTTCTTTTAAATGTTATGGCCCCATCGAAATAATCAATGATTTTGCTAATGTCAAGTAAAAATAACTATGTACGGTAGTTTAGTATTATTATAAAAATTATACAAAAAAAATGGCGATTTCGCCAATGTCCTGTGAGTTTTTTTTTCGGCGTCTATCTAGATATATGTCTGTGACTCCGTCCAACCATTTATTTCACTTTTGACAGCTCGAATTCTAATCAATTAGTGATGTCCTAATGCATTTCTGATTCAATTTTTTTATTCCAATCGATTTTATTTATAAAGAAGTTTTAATCGTGAATGTGAGCGAGTTCAAAAAAGAAGATATTGTCTGATTGGGATCGTGATGTTGCGTTTGACAGTTTGTGTACTCAAGAATTAATAATTAATGTTAATAAGTGATGATTCCCGTTCATATGGAGAAGAATCATTATAATTTATTAGACAGGTACCTAAATTTATCAACTTGAATAATCTGTTATATAATCTGTTGACTCGATAAATATCGGAGTTAAAAAGCACATCGCTTCATTAAAATTAAAAAATAAAGGAGTCCAGGAAGTATTGCATTTTTTTGGTTTATGGTTATATGTCAATAATTACGGAACTTCGGAGGCATGCATATATATGTCAAAAGTTAAATAAATTGAGTATAATATTCATTGCAATCAATATTTTACTGATTGTTTATAATATTAGACAAATTTTTAACAAAGTCGGAGTCATCGTAAACCTTGTTTTTTAGGTAACAAATTACGTTAAAGGAAAATATCATGAGAATTGGTGACAAATACAACAGGATAATGTGATATCTTATCTAATATATTACGAATGTTTGTTCGGTATGCATTCTATATATTATTCATCCGATTGTGACAAAATTTTCGTGTACTGATTTTTCAGCCACAACAGCAGAAATTTCTTAAGTATTAGAACCATCTTAAGCTTAGTTGGCAAAGCGTCTGGCACGGTTTGCTAGAAGACGTTGGTTCGAATCCAGCCAGATCGAAGGAATTTTTTCTGAGTGTTCGATCTTTGTATTAATAATTATAACAAACTAGTGTTGTTCCGATTTTGCTCATACGAAGTTGGAAGAATGTTATTTTAATTTATGTGAAGTTAACTGTTTAATTTTCCCTTCTACTTATTAGTTTAGAGACAGAGCAGACAGCGAGTCAGCGTAAGTGTAACTGAGAATATTGTCTGATTTATACTATATATTTTTTAATAATATTATTATTGTTGTTCATTACATGTAAATTAGTCGTACATAGTCATAGTCATACCATTTTTTTTAATTAATCTATTACATGTTATTAATAAATTCAACCTATATAATTATTAGTATTAGATGTTTATCGTGGCGATGGTACCGTTGAATTGGATTATGTTGAAAAACGATTGTCAACAAGGTCAGGCTGAAAATTGAAAATCAGTACCGCGAGGCATACAGCCACAAGGATTATACTGAGCCTGTTCCTTCCACGCACTGTTATTGTTCCCACAATATTGTTATCATTATTATGTTCTGTACGTATTACTGGGTGTGGTAAATAAATTAAACCATTTATTCATTTATTAATGGTTTAGTGGAGCAAATTCACAAAAAAAAATTAATATCAATTCAAAACAAATTTTAATACAGTTATTAGCGACATCTCTAGCCAGGGCTGGTAGCTGTAAAGTTACCTATCTGGGTGACGAAATACTTTCATAAATTTCTCATAGATGACGCTACGGCTAAACAGCCGTTGACAAACTAAATACAAAGATCCAAGAAACAAGCACAGAAAAATTCGTGAGGTCCAGTGGTTCGTTCCGTGGCTTAGTTAACATAGCGTCAGACACGGTTTGCTAGAAGACGTCGGTTCGAATAATTATAACAAACTAGTGGAGTAATTTCCCAAAAAAAAATATA